CATTGTTGCCGCCAGGGAGTGAAGAGGAAAAAATTTATTTCGCTTTGCGAATAACCGTGCTATGAAATGCCGCACAACTGGAGAATTTCAAGAACGGATATAACACTTTCCTTAGGTTATTTAAAGCGGCCACCAAACCTTAATCTTAGCAGACAAATGTGCCAATGAAAATCGTAAACGTGAATTGTTGGTGAAAATGTTGGACCAAAAAGTTTCATTAAAATATATAAAAATTTTGGGCGGGACGAAGTTCGCCGGGTCTGCCAGTATTAAATAAAACGGTAATTCAATAACAGCCCAACTTAACTTTACACTTCCACATGTCTACAGCTAACCGCAAACCTCACGTGCTATCGTGATGAATATGACACCAGTTAAGAGCAAAATTTAATATTTACGAACATAAAATAAGTAATGAAGCCAAGAATTAAGTCAAAGCACAAAAGCCCAAAAATTTAATTTACATCAAAGCTATGAAACTGTTGCAGCCCTATAGTAAGTTCGACTGGCTCCAGACTGGCGCAAAAGTGTTTTTTTTCTGAATGGTTACCAATTTGTGCTTAGAAGCCACTTGCTGATATCGAAGCGTGAGATAGCAACTCTGTGTATAGTTTTTATAGGAGATAAGAGAGATGAGCTCAGTTTCGATTGTTAGCTATCGATTTAATAAGCTTTTTGATACGAATTATGTATCTGCATAACTAGTACAATAACCGCTTAAGCGAACAGAGAGGCACACTTAGGTCAGTTATTTTCCCGTGGTGTTATAGAGCCAACGTGTTTTCTTATCGAAGCGTTAAAGATCGCACAACATGTGCGGGGGGAGAACACCTAAACATAGAAAGACATTTTTATTAAAACAAGTAATGATTAAGCAAAAAACAAAACCGACTTTAATTCCTTTTATATAGGTATATCTAGATCTAGCAGCTCTCACGCAAGATGCGAGCAACCCGCCAAAAGAAAAATTCAGTTAAAATACTTTGTCTCATTTACAAATTTTCTAATGCTGANTGCTCTCACGCAAGAGGCGAGCAACCCGCCAAAAAAAAAAATTCAGTTAAAATACTTTGTCTCATTTACAAATTTTCTAATGCTGACTATTGCGACGTTCGAAAGCTC